AGCGTTGATGATATCTAACATTTTGTACGCGTTCTCGTGATGGTCTCGCATCGCTTCGGGAACCTGCTCTATCCGGCTCTCGTTATAGCGGCGGACGCGGCGAACTGCGGCGGCGCGAGAGGGGTCAGAGTCCGTTCGGAGGGCGACGAAATTGCGAAGGGGATCGCCGGAGGGGGCGAGCGAGAGAGAGAGATAGAAGAGGGACTCTGGAGGGTGGCTTCATCCGAGGGTGGCAGCGATGCTGGTCGTGACGGTGGGCGGCGGTGATGGTGATGGTGGTAGTGGTGGTGGCTTTGGCAGTACACGATGGTAGCGGACGGTTACCGGCCGCTGGGCCTGTGGATCACACACGGCCGAATGACGTCACTCTCTCTGGCGTTACCAGGATACCAGAGAAGGCGAAGAAGACACGCCATTGCCGCGCAGCGGGCTTCGGATCTCCGCGCGATTAATTGTGATTGGAACCTACGACGTTTCGCATCTTCGACAATGCGAAGGTGTCTAAATCGAACAGATGCCTAAAAATACTTTTGCAGCGCGAATCTGATGTCTGAGAATGTGTTGTTTTGAGGATCAATTTCTTTGATTTGAATAGCCAAATAATAAGATTTATTCGATCACGATCGAGTTACAGAACTATCAAAAATAAAATCATTCGATTTTTAACGATGTACAAGTTTCCGTGAAATAATGTCGCACAGTTCTTTACATGTATCTTCTCTTATAAGTTTCTTAAAGTTCCACGCCTATAGGCCTTGGACGTTCAACATTGAAAATTTCTCAAAAATACCATGAAATTTGATACAATGATAATGAAAATGAAAAACAAAAATCTTTTTAGATTTTAACTCATATCCATTTCCGATTCTTACAGATACACTCAATTTTATGAAGATGCTTTTGCAAAGTATAGAATATGCTTTACAAAAACATCTTTATAAAAGAAGGACTACTTCATACTCTAAAAAGTTACATTTTTTTTTCTCCCAGTTTTTCACATAGGCAATATTTTATAGCTCATTGTGTAATTTCTATTTTCAGAGAAAACGCGGGGAAAACGGAAAACCCAACGGAATTCTCTGTCTATAAATTCTGTTTTCTCTCGGTATATATTATATCTATGCGTTAATTTACACTAATCTTGAGAAAAGTAGAAATCCACTTTGTTCAACAAATATTTTATTATATTTTTCAATGTTCTCACGTAATATTATGTAATATTTTGTAACAAATTTCGATAATATGTTGAATCTTTTAAATTTGCTTTATACGGTAGTAATTCGACTTTTGTTCCAAGTCTGTACAAAATAACCTGAGATTGCCTGAGATTCGTCGAAGGTGACCTTGAAAAGACTTTTCTCAAAGCAAAAGAAAGTGAGTGGAGGGAGAGACGACAATCAGGTCTGGATAGCTTTCCGCCATAGTGGTACCGTTACTCACACCCTTGCGAACGTAGGTACCGCACACAAAGAGCAGGCATACGCGTGTGCGTGCGTCCGTGTGAAAGGGTGACGCACGCAACACGATGTGCGCGCGCGATCATCACCGACATCTGGCTTCGGTCCTTCGCCCGAGGGACTTGTGGACAAAGACTTTTCCTTCGTCTTCGTGGTCTCGGAGTTGGATTTGTATATCCTATAACCGGACTGAGAACGTACGACTAAAGTTCATCTCGATTTGAATATGAGACATGCAATTCAAGTGGGAACATTATATTGAATCAATGGATTCAATTGTGAATTCTACTCTTTCTTAAATATGCGCACTCTCAGTTATTAAACTAAGATCAAACGCTCTTAAACTCAAGTTAAATTAATGAAATCTCTTCCATTTTCTCGCCAATGATGCGTGAGACGCTGGCGTTGAGAAACATCCGTAAGAAAATATGAAATAGCGACGAATGCAGAGAGATCGAAGACGCACGTAGGGATAAGGTCGTGGAAGTCAAGATAATTGAGTCGAAGGGCTGGATAGATCCGAGCCCTTCCAGTCGGTACCGGAGTGGTTGGTCTCCGGCAAGCGGTGACTGCACGTAACGACCCTAGCGGTACCGTTTCTATGGTACCGTTCGTGGGGATTAACGCCCCTCTTGCGTCGTCGCGGCCGCTCCACTTTCATCCGGCGGCGGCGGCGGTGCCGGCGGCGGCGACGGCAGCAGCAGAGCAGTAGCAACAGCAACAGCAGCCACCGCCGTTGCCCGCCGCCGCTGCTGCGGGGTGAGACCAGCCTTGGCCTGGGACCATGGAAACTGGATAGCCTTCCCGTGAAACACACGCGCGCGCATATATATTGGTCGATCGCGTATTATAATTATCCCCGAGTCTCGGCTACGCGGCATTCCGAGAGGCACTCGGAAAAACTGCTTGTCGCACGTCGATCCATCGATCGAAAAATAAATTACGTTTCCGATATGGTGGCTCTTCTGGAAACAACCTCGGATAACGGTATATGCATGTTACCCATGAAGCTGATAAAATATTATCCATATAAAAACTCTACGGAACGTTTTAATATGATAAGAAAGAGGAGAAAGAAAAAGAGAATAAACGTATAAAAAAAAACCAATTTTTTTTTATGCGAGAATGCGTTTTATATAGACAGAGATGCGCTTGGTTTTAGATAAAACGTTCCTTTCTAACTAACTTTCTGAATCTTTCGAAATACTCGGTCAACGAATCATTGCAAAGCGATGAAGTAAAATGTTTATACAGTAGAACGATAAAAGAAAACGATAGAATTTTACCGACAGTAACGCGGCAGATACCGAAGAAAATCACTTTAATTTCAAATATACATTTATGTAAGATTTATTAGATAATTCTAATAAATATCCGTATGTTTATAGAGAGAAACTCTATTCAGCGACAACAAAGAATCACAGAATAAAACAAAGGTAAAAGAGAAATTTCTGTTGAAAGTGCATCATGGTGTTGAGTGACTATTGAGTTGTTGCTTCTATATTAGTATATCGGAAAATGACTCTACTTAAATTAAACCGTAAGACAGTCCAGTACCAATTGACATAATCACGAACCGAGCATGTCATATAATCATAAAATAAATAATACTTTATTGCTTTTGTGCTATTGTATTACCAAACATTTCTAACCGTTGTGGATACATTTATGTAATAATAAAAGTACGTAACTATAGAGGGAATCAGATAAAATTTAATCCCGGAAATTGTTTATTGCGTATACGCTCTCGAACTATTTCACTGGCTCAGGCGCTATTTATTTTTTGCCAATGTATCGATATGTACACGCAAAGATCGAGGTAAAACGTCTTGATAGCGATAACATCATAGACGCAGTGCTCAACAGCGAGGTTACGCCTGGCGTCATCAACAACATTGTCGCCGTTTAACCTTCGTGTCATCGAAGCATTGATACCGTGACTACGGTAACTGACAAAATTATTTGTTTCCCCACCCGTTCGAACGATATCTTCTGCGTGCACCATAAATACACGCTTTTTTTTTTAAGAAAACATATTTCATGATTTGCATTCAGAAATGATAAACGTTCTCCAATGGATGAATCGACGGTACCAATAAAACATCATCACTAGAGCGTTATAATTTTGTTATTTTAAGAAAATTATTACAATTTTCTTCTCAAAAGTTTGTTAATTATAAGTTAAAATAATAGCAAATAACAAAAAATATGAAATAGCTTACGATATCTTTTTGAAGTGTATTATTTCTACTATAATAGTAAAGATAAATGATAAATAAAAATAAAAATGATGTAACTAAAAATGCAGTTACAATTGATATTGCCGAAAATTCTTTGATGAGTGACTTTCAACGTTTATCATATCTAGACACAGATAGAAAATTTCCCTTCATAATAGATCGACAAGTAAAACTTTCAAAATTCATACCACGTAATTTAATTTTTCTAATTTAAATATAGTTTGAAATTTAATATGCAAAAGATAAGATAGAAATAGTCCTATAAGAATAAAGGGGCGTAACTTATATTGTTAGTTTTAGATACGCTTGTACTTCCAAATAATCGTCAAAACTTTCGAAAGAGAATTAGTAAATCTTATGAGTCGAACGTAGTTAATTCCTTTCCTTTCAATGGTTTAGATATTAAATAGCCGACAAGAATGTGGAAAAAGGATGAGATATTTATGATACAAATACGGAAAAATAAGATGTACACACGCACGCACGCTATCTCGTAGATAAGCGGAGGTTGAAGAAGGAGAGGGCGCGTTGCAGAAATAGTCATCCTGTTATCGACACCACCGTTTGCTTATCGTACCACGGTCAATATTTCGCTCCCTCCGGCTCCTTTTTTCTGCACCGTCTTCGCTTCGCCTCTCTTTCTCTCACCCCGATTCCCGCACGTCGTTAGCGTGCGTTTGCGCGTCCGTCACTACGCTCGCCACTTATCCCGGCTTTATCGGCCGATAACGCCAATATCTCGGCCACCATCAAGCGGCGATTACAAGGAAGAGGAGTAATATTCGCTATATTTCAGAAATATCGTCTGGCGTACGAAATTCTTACGCCGCTGCGCATTAACATGCTCCCGATGATACCGAAATCACGCAGAAAATCATGCAATCCTCACCGACGTTTAAAAAAAAAACAAACAAACTATATTCAACGCGAATTTAAAAAACCGTCTACAATTGAATTCTTCTGAATGTTTAAAAATGTTCGTACAGACAATACTAACAAATTATAATACTTGTTTTATTCTTTACACCATAAAGTGTTGTAATCTCTCTGAGAAATGTTTTTTTATGAGAAAAATAAGAACGACTATTTAACTTTTATTTAGATTGAAAGATAAAGATGATTAGAAGTATAAAAGATAATTAAGATGAATTAAGATGATTCGTTTTAGTAAAAGTATTTCGCTACCATCTATACTCTATCTTCCTCTATTTTTTACGCTTTTTGTTTTCGATCTTGACCAGTTAATAATCGCAGGTAATAATCGATAATAATCCGTAATTAATAAAATATATAGGGTACTCACAATTTAATACACTTCCTTACGATGTTGTTAGCGAGCTTCTGCGATTTTCTTGACGATACGAAAGGTGGGGTGATGCTAACAAGCCTCTTTCGTTTCTCTGCATCGCTCGTCGTATTCTCTTCGACAATCTCAGGTTCACATTCTTCGATGACGTTGTTCTCTTCGTTGGCATTTACCGCCGAGTTTTGGACCCATTCTACTATATGGTCCGTGCGATCGGCCGATAATGCAGCCGAGTTGCTGGCAAGCTGTTCTTTAATAAGTTCGCCAAACGCGGTCGGAGCATGAACAATTCCAAAGTTCGTCTTCTCTTCCATTTTTTCCGCGGACTCTGTCGAGATTCTTTTTTCCTTCGCGGCCAAGGAAGTACATTTCTTGGCACTGTCAGCCGTATCGTCAATCGAAACGTCATCTCCCTTCTTTACCGTTTGTTGCTCTTTCTCACTGCTCTCCTCGTCGCCGTCCCTCACGATTGCATTACTCTCTTCGTTGTTGTCCTTCACGATTTCACTCTTCTTCTTGTCGTCGTCCTTCACTGCAATCTCATTGGCGGTTTGGAGTATCGCCATCGCCAAATCCCCGTGAACGATTTTTAAGATCTCATTTAAGTTACTCTGTATAGTGCTGGAGTAAACCGTCTCTTCTTCCATGGACTTCGCTTCTGTAGAATTACAATCGTCGGAAGTGGTCTCTTTGGTCTCGGAATAAGATACAACAGGATCAGAATCGATCGTCTTGTCGAGATCAGTTACCTCCTTCAAATCACCATTGCAATCGGTTTTAGTAGCATCGTGTTGATTTTCGGAACCAGGTGAATTTGTTTCCTCGGCACCTTGCTGGTTTTCAGAACCAAGTGAATTTGTTTCTTCTTGTTTCTTCTCTTTCTCAGCGACAGTATCTGAAGTTTCTTTAGAAACAGATGGTTCGTCAGTGTTCGTTTCTTCATGATTCTCCTCCCTGTCAGAGGAATCTGCTCTATCGTTTGCAGAAGTTGTAGTAGGACTCTCTGAACTTTCTGGACTCTCCGGACTTACGGGACTCTCGTTTTCCACCGATTTAGTGGTACTTTCTGTCGTATTATTCTCTGCCATTGTTGTCAGATACTTTCAAGGATCAATTTCTCTCAGAATCCAACATTTTAATTTCGATGATGAATGGGGGAAGCTTTCAGTATTTTAGAAGACACATTTAATTACCATCTGAGTTTTCTTGGCCATCTTGCGTAGAAAATATTATCCTTCCTATATCCGACAACTTCGTCTTCTGATTTCCCTTTTGATTTGCTCCTACAAAAACAAAACAAATTCTTAAAATAATCACTCATGAAATTGTAAATACTTAAAATTAGATACAATTAGAATACAATTAGAAAATAATTCTAGTCTCTTAATTATCGACATGTTAGTATTATTATCCTGAACACATTATAAATTATTATTATTATTGTTGCATAATATATCTCTATAAATGTAAATGAAGCAACAATTCCAAGAATAATTTTTCATCGACAAGAGGAATTCCTGCATCATCGAGCGAGCATTGTGAGGTTAGGAAACGTCATGTAGTAAGACGAGACACGATTCTTGTCGTTTAATTTCACGTAAATGCAAATGTTATCTCTCGTTTTCATCACGATGTTAGCCACATTTACAGGTTCCCTCTCGCTCCTCCCCTCCCCCCTTTCTCGTCCACAAGCCGTTCAATTGCGACTGCAACAATTGCCTGCATGCAACGACGTTCCACGGCCTAAACGCGATCTTGAAACAACTACGCACGACACGTTTAACGAGCATTCGTAGCGTATTTAAATGGATATCGACTGTCGTCGAGAGTCCTCGCGCAAATTCCGTCGAATTCCTCAGATGTCTATGCTATTTTTCTGCGCAAATGATGTCCCAGACAGGTTGTCACCATTTCCGCGACGAAGGACAATAGCGGCTCCCTTTCTTTTCTCTCACTCTCTTACTCTGTATTTACACGAGAATTACGAGGAATTTTCTAAAGGACTTACGCTTGGTGAACCGCCGGTGAATTATACTCCTCCGACCGGCCCTTCACGGTCTACAACAACATCTCTTAAGGTCTCTCGTCGAAACCCCCGCGGAGAGATTTGCTTCGCCTCGGCCTGACGGAGGTCCTAAGAACCGGATCACCCGCGGAGTTCGTCCCTTACGGCGGCGGTCAACGAGATCGTCTCCTTTCGCCGGTCTCACACTTGCGACGACTTGGGGGGGGAGGTTCGACGTCGATTTCTCGGGGTCAACACGGACGTCGTCTTGTTCAACAAGCTCGATCCTCCCGCTGCGCGAATCTCATGTCTCACGGAGAAACAGGAGCAACGTATATCGCGGCCGATAGATGCGCGGGCGCGCGCGCGCGCGAATGCCTAACCTCTCCTCTCTCACTCTCTCGTCGAGGTAACCGGCGTCGATGGGGACGACGGGTTGCGGCGCCGCGAGAACGGCAGGGGGCGAGGGGGGCGGGGAGGGGGGAGGCAGAAATGCGGCAAGATAAGATCCTCCGGTAGTACGTACCTCGTGTCCACCGCTCGGGAGGAGGTTGATTCCTCGGAGCCGCGGAAGAGACTCGCGCGCGCGCGCGCGCGCGCGAGCGACGTGTCCGCCGACGTCGACCGGACTCGCGTCCGTGGAAAACGGACGATGACGACAGCGCGAATTCGCGTCGGAAATGGCAGCGCACGGAGCGAGCGAATGACCCACCGTTCGCCCGCGAGACGGACCGACGTGGCGCGCGGGAGAGAGAGAGAGAGAGAGAGAGGGAGTGAGCTGAGGACGAGAGAGAGAAACGCGTGCCGAGCGCGATTTCTTTTCGCGAAAAAACCACTCCGGTGGGGTGGGGAACGGGGGGGGAGCAGGGGAAAACGCGAAAACACACGTAAAAACACAGGCCCGCGCGTACCGGCGAGGCTGGTGACCTTACTGAACTGTATCCATACTGGATCGCGCACACTGGCGCTCGAAACGTCACCCGAGAGAGACAACTTCAAGCGGTTGGCGTTCTTTCTCCCTCTCGCGCGGTACAGTCCTTTAAATAAGTTTACGTCATACGAGGATGAAATATGCTCTCTCGGTATCATGAAAATTGATTAAACCTTGACGAGGATTGTACAAGGCTCTCGATGCGCATGCTTCTCTCTCTCTCTCTCTCTCTCCCTCTCTCTCTCTCTCTCTCGCTCTCGCTTTCTCTCTCTTTCTCTCTTCACTAATTTTTCTCTTTCAGATTAATACATGAGAGTATGCATGTATGTATGTGTGTACATACTTCCGATATGAAAGGATTCATTGAGTGACTTTTATCAGCTGCTGCTAATCACACGAACGAAATTGCAATCATTGCACTGTGCACATCGAAATTTATGCAAATTTTACAATAGCTGGACCGAGATCGCTTTTATCGTGACAAATGCATTCTTATTTTTATTTCATATTAATAAATATTTTCAATACGTACAATCATAATTTTAATTTATTATATAGATCTACATTCGACAAAATTGCATTAAACGATAAGCATTATATGCTTTTGATTATCCAATTTTCAATTTTAATTTATTTAAAGTATGCGAATTTTTATCTGTAGAATTCCTTCTTCGAATTGAGTGCGAACAATATACTCTCAAACTGCACGTATTATTTCGTATGTGAGATTACAAGATTTACAAGAACGAGATGTAATTAGATCTGAAGAGAGAGACTTACCGGAAAAAATAGACGTTCACATTTTTGATGGAGTTCGTTTCCTGTCGAACACGATATTGGCGAATTGTTTATCGAGTGACGTTACCAACGGAATGACCGTACGGCCAAATTTAATTTTCCGTGAATTTTGCCGTTGCATAGTAATTTTCATATTGTAGCATTCACGTCGCGATTCTCCTTGCTAGAATCGCTGCGTAACACGATTTCGCGAACTTGCGCAACATTTCGTGAAATATCGCAGTCGATATCTCGTTTTCGCGACGTGATCGATAATTCGCCGAGACGTGGCGATCGCGTGCCTCGATAGATTTTTTATTCCCGGTCGAATTTTTGACAGCCCTTCCGCGTGAAGTCATCAGTGGATGAGCGGAGCAGTCGCGACGCGCGTGGATCGTCGATTCTCCGTGGCTGTGCGTGTTTATGCAGGATTTCATCGCTGCCATACGACAATAGTCATTGCTCTCGGGATCCTCGGCGATGAAATCGTCGAAATCTAACACGAATTCACGCGAGTCTGTATAAAATATATCGTCCGCGTTCGGTCTTCCACTTGCGCGTAGGATCGCCGATTTGTCAACAATATGGCGACACGACGCCGGTCGTTTCTGCGGTTATACTCTCGGCGCGTGTATTTTGTCAATTTGCCGGTAAGTCGAAACTCGAAATCGAATCCTATGGAACTTGATAAGAATCATGCTGAATTTCTTATAGAACGGACAGCCGGATTTGAAGGAACGTTGCGTCGACGAGAGATCATCCGGTCATCGATATTCTGAATCGAGAGAATTACAGCCGGAGATGATATCGGACAAATATATATGTATCGAGGGATTTACGCGCATTGTATTTGCGGCGATCGGCAAAAACGCGGAGAGTGGCGACGGATCAAGGTAAAGTGGCTAGTGATAATCACTTTGATTGTTGTCTCTTCTGACCGATGTAGCGATGAATCTCGCTACAGACGAGTAAACTCGATCCGTAAAGCTCGGATTAGAATGCGTCCGCAAAAAAAGCAAAATCGATTTGGAAAAACCTCGGGATGAAGGAGGGACAACACTCGAGACACTTAATTTTTAAGAGAGACACACGACACTGCGATGTTCTCGTATATTTACAGATACTCGTAATTCATAGTCAATAGTATTCATATATATATATTTATAATATGTATATATCAACAAAATAATATTTTAGTCATTTTTACGTCGCTAATAAAATCTAGTGGCTAAACAGTCACAGGGCCTCGATCGTGTTACCTAAAAGTTGGTGACGTTCTGTACCTAGCCGCGGAACTTACTCCGCGTCACGTCCGCTCTCTACCTAACAATAAATAAACAAACAAATACAAATTTATACATTCCGCGCGCGTTACCGCGCTAGTGAGGGTAATAATGATTAATATCGCACACGCCCACAGGTCGCAGGTAACGAGATGAATCTAACGACGATCCTTTCACGCACGCACCGTCAAATCGAGAATTAATTATCGTCCAAGTCGCGAAACATAAAATTTGTCGTTAGCACCGTCTGCAGATTCAGAACAAATAATGAGAAGCGCGATTCGACCGAAAGAGCAGAGGAATATCTAAAAGACGCCGTTATTTTCTCCCGCAACTGACATATTCGCACGATCTTTGACCTCGCGTAAATTTTCTGATTTCGCAGGGAAAGTCCGTTTTTACTAAAAGATTCGTTAAGGACGCTTCGAGGAAGGTGAGAGACATTTGTTTTCGCATCTAACACGTGAAAATACGTCCGACGAAGTCTCTCGCGCTGCCGCAATGTCGGTTATATGAATTAATATAATCGGATTTTATATTAAATCAGCCTTGACCTCCCCCCCTCCCTTCCCCCGGGACTTCTCTGCAATTAAAACTTCCTCTTGAATTGGGAACGAGGTAAGGGAGTAACTGCAACCGCGACTGCGCGCCGCGCTCGAAGCAATTTTTTTTCTTTTTTTTTTTTTTTTATTACCGCGTTCAAGTCTCGCCTGATAGTCCCGCTGCGTGGCAACGCGGTATCGCCTTACCGATGGCGAAACGGGGACAGAACAGTCGTTGCCTTTGTTTTTAACCGCGGTGCAGTGTGCCACGCAGTCTGTCGTCGTCGTCAGCGTCGTCGCCGCGGCACGTTGTAGGTGTGTTAAAATTGCGGCTTCTAAACGGGGTCGCCGCGGACACGCTAATAACCACGTGCATTTCCGTCGGAATTGGAACGGCCGATGCCACCGCTCTGGACAATCGCCTCCGCGTTATCTGCGACCGTGGACGCAAATTGGACACGAAATTGCCCAGTCTTCGTGTCGACGTTCCCGTCTTGCCCAGCACAAACAGATGCTGTTAGCAGTACTTTAGCTCATTCCGATTAATCCGTGATAGTTAATACGTCTCCTCCTCTATATTGCAGCCGCGGTTATGGTATAAATATAAAGGAAGGTTTCTCTCTCTTTCTCTCCGTATTGTATATATGTGTGTGTGTGTGTGTGTGTGTGTGTGTGTGTGTGTGTGTGTGTGTGTGTGTGTGTGTGTGTGTGTGTGTGTGTTTTGTGTGAGCGCACGTCATATGTGTAATTTAGCCACCGATGCTCAGTTATTGACTCGCCTAATTAAATGGGTTGACAGTTCTCTCTGATCATAGCTCTAGCTACGTTAATAGTCGGAGAAAGAGAATTCTCTTCATGATCGTGAGCCGTGTATCCCACGCTATATGTTATTGTTAGAGAAACCGGATGTGAGATGCATTTCATTTCAGAACTGAGATTCGATTCGACGTCCCTAGAGTAATTTTTAACATCACGTCGCATATAATCATATTAGTGCAAGAGTAATTTTTATCATCACGTCGCACATAATCATATTCCCGCTATATTACATATTTAAAATCATATGGTTTTTGAGAAATGAAAGCTGTTATGAAATATCTGGCACAAAATTTTGTCCTCTCCGTTTTTACCTGACATTTAAAAATTTCTGTTAAAAAAAATTTCTATTAATTTCTTGTGCGCTTAATTATTCAAAATATTTGCCTAGTTACTAGTATAAACTAGTCCGAAACTAAAAATATTAATGTCGTGGGATACACATTTCACGGGTGGGAGGACCACGGAATTTCGTTGACTAACGCTAATCCACGTCGGAAACGACTCGCCCGTTAAATCCCAGCATGAGAACTGCGCCAAATGTCTGCGGCGACGAGTCACGGCGAGGAATTCTCTTCGGCGCGGTGCTGGGTATCGGATTTCGACTCCGATAAAAACGGTAATCGGTATCGCGCGCGGTATAGTGTCTCGTGTATTCGTGCGTGTCAGGTGCACGTGGGCACGCTGTCTCCTCGGACACGCATGTACGATATATCGCGTATAAAATACCTTTTCTCTACCTATAAATGGACTACCTATTATACGCTTTCGTCGTGGCCCTCTTCGCCATCCTATACGGTCCCCCGTTCGCTTTTTCTTTTAACTACCAAATAGCACCCATTTTCGTCACGTATATTTTCACGCATTTCGCTTTTCCGCTTTCATTTTTTTTCTTTTTTTTTCCTTTTGTTTTTTTTTCCTTGCGCTTCAATCCCTTCAATCCTTGCCTTTTCAGATACTTTTATGGAAATTAACACTGAGAAATACATATAAGATACATACATACGTAACATATGAACAATTAAGCGATCTGTCAAAAATTATTGACGCCTTCTTGGCGAAAAACGAATCGTTGTACGGTATATCTGCCGGATTGCAAAGGATCAATGCGCTTAGTCTGTCGACGTAATCGCCGAGTTTACACCAGCAATAGCAGATCTTCCATCCTACGTCGAATTTCATTTCAATGCGATCAATGGTATTAGATAAGGACTGTATGTTAATAAATGATCATCAGAATAAGACGTGACTGTCCTCGAAATGGCGCGTCTCCGATTAATGTGTCTTTGAGATTTTCCAGCGCTCGACGGAAATAGCCGCTTGCATATTATATATATAATAGTGATTCAAATAATCAGTTTGATCCACTTTAATTGTCTACAATATTTCTAGCCGGAATAAACTAGACAATAGACAAACCGCATTTGAAATAATTGCATTATCGCAAATTCTCAAATTTATCCCGAATTTTTCGCGATATAAATTCAGTCGACGTGGCCTTACAAAACATATGTGACTGCTTCTAAAATCGTAAATTTCGTCGCGCTATCGCGTGACATAAAGGCGCACATAATATTTGTTCTGTATCTAAGTAAACATTGTCCGTAAGCGATTGAGAATTATTTTTCTTTCATGAGTGCGTTATCATGAGGCAATACGAGGAAGTAATGTTTGCGAATTAAATTGACAAATAAGAACAAAAACGCCGACCGAAATAAATGTTAATTTAATTTTTTTTTTTTTCGTAAAACTGAGAATTGCATCGATAGATTTTTAGCGCGTTTGCCGTTTTAACATTCGGCGTTTCACAAAATTTTTAACGGAATTTTACGATGGAAATTAAACGCGGAGGATCAAACTGTCGGTGCGCGAAGAGCCTAAAACGCATCGTCATTAATTGCGCAGATGGAAAATAATCGCTGCTTGTGTAAACTTGGCTCGTAAGTCGTGGATATAAATATTTAATCGTGACGCACTATAATTTCTACTACGCCGGGATCGGCAGATTATTAGCTACGATCGCCGTGACGGGCAAAAATGAAAAATATTACACGAATATACATATAGTACGAGTACATCAACGGTGAGTGGATAACGGACTGTACAAAATAACAATCAGAACGATAACAATTAGCGAGCAAAATAAATTGCACTAAATTATTGTACAATTGAATACAATTTTAAATATAAAACTGTATCTATAATGAACAAATTTGATTATTGATTCTTAGAGAGAGTCCTGTAATCTCTACTTTCCCGAGAAATTAGATTACGTGATCTACCTCTCACACAGTTCCATTACAAAAATTCACACCTAAATAATTAATAACAGGTAAACTTTAGCTTTACTTATTGAAACAGATAATATATACGAAACAGAGAAGCCTCATCACGGCGTCCGCATGTCATTGCACTTGTGTCAAGGGTCTCTACGGGGTTGTGACGATGAGAGAGAAAACCGCGAAGAGTTTATATCGTAGAAGCAGTGGTGTAGTCTTACAAAAACATCACATCAACGAGTCCACATCAACGAGATAATTTTTTTTCTTGTTTCCGTTATAATTGCGTATTATGACAAACTAATCGGAGCTCTGATCTTCAATTTTATCATAATCAATTCTTGCTGCATAATTGTGCATAATTGCACGTTTGATGTGCACACTTTTTGTTTATACTAGTGACTGGTCCTAGTAGACGGCTTGGCATTAGTTCTGCACAGATATGAGAATACGTCTTTTTGTCAGTACAAAATTCCAACAGAAAAATATAGTCTTCGGACTCGAAACTTGCTAAGAAGTTTGCCGAGTTCCTCAGTCAAAAAATACATTACCTCTAATCTACTCGTATTAATCAATTATCGCCTACATTCGCGTATGATTTTATCACATGATTTTACGCCTTTATATAATTTACGAATGTTCATCGAGTTTTCCTAAGATTACGTGTCGCAATTAATCTTTTAACTACGCCGTCAGTCTCGCTCGTACATATCTTATCTCATTCTTCATTACTTTACTAGTGACATGCGTAAAAAAATTATCGTATAACTTTAAATGTAATCTTAAATGCAACCTTATTCAATGCTCTTCTCGATGAAGTACAGGCTTTGAGATTATCATTGTTATTTTCCTTTATATGAGGAATTTATGCGAATAGGTATAACGGGCGACTAACGACGGGTTAAAATAAAATGTACGAACGGAATCGATTCGACCGCCTCGACTACACCACCGCGAAGGGGAAGGGCACGCTTCTGCGGGTGTCGTGCAGCGGTCATTCCGCGAAAGTCCTCCTCGACGGCCGGCGTTTCTTCATCCGACATTTCTCCGCCTCGCTGCGTGAGCAGCCTTCGGCGAGTAGCCGAAACCGCGTAAGAAGTGCGGCGTCGCGGCGTTTCTCGTACATCTCGCGGTTCCTTTCTTTTCTTCTTCAAGCTTTTCGAATCACTGAACTTCGTAAACAAGGTCAAGGACACGATGGTCAAGAGGCGAGAGTAGTCCTGTGCCAGGAGGCGTGTTGTTGCTGCGACGGCTGCTGTTGCTGCTGTCGTTGCTGTTGCTGTTGCTGCTGTCGTTGCTGCTGCTGCCTCTTCTGGCTGCAAACGAAAAATAGGATTGCGTCTTAGTATTTTCGTCGAATATTATAAATATTGATGCATGGAATTATCGCTGTATTGAACGCGCTGTATGCGCGTTAAGTTATGTATAAAAAAATTAAATTTACGTAACTTTCATGATTTATATACATATATATATATATAATTGAAATGCAGAAGATTAATTACATTATTGAAATATACAAATGACATGTATAAAAAAATATAAAATTAATAGTGCAAAATTAATAATTTCATGCATTATAAAGGCAATATTTTTTCGTTGTTTCTCGCAGAGTAAACAACTCGACGAGTTCATCACAAATAACGGGCAGGATTCGGATCGTCTCTTCCGACGTGTTTTTTTCCTCAGACGCGCACGTGCTCAGTACATTGCTTCTTTGCGAAATCAGTTACGAAACCACGAATGCGCGGAATTATGCGCATACCTACGCGAGGCCTGATATTCGCGAGGATAACGCGGACGTATGTATCGCTTTTCCTGGAAGCGACGAAAGAATTCTGGAGGATGCGAGATGCGACGTCGCGTTTCGATCTCTCTTCTCTCTCTCTCTCTCTCTCTCTCTCTCTCTCTCTCTCTCTCTCTCTCTCTCTCTCTCTCTCTCTGTCTCTCTCTCTCCCTCTGTCTCTTTTTCTGCGCATAATAGACACGCGCGTCATTACAAAAATAACGAATTGTCGAGTAAGTCATCCAGCACGAGCGTCACGATGTTTGTGAAAACGAGATTATGGAGCTTAGATTAGTAATTACAATGGAATGCAAAATTCGTGCCGGTGGTCCAGCGCCGACCGGCAATTGCAATTATTCGGCTGCGCAATTTAGAAATGGATACATATCTATATTTTTGTCGGCGACGCGAAAGCGTTCATACACTGATAACGACGACCGAACGAAGCTTAGAAATGTCACAGTTCACATTTCTAGCAGCAGAATACTGATCTCTCCGACGTAGGTACATGTATAGGATGAAAATAGAATGGATAGAGGATTTTGTCTTTTAAAAAAAATAACGATTTCAGATCCTAATTATTCCAGAGATTTAATTTCTCGAGAAATAATTTTATACTCACGGCAACCGTACACGTCTTCATTGTCGACTCTATGGAAATTTCCTAGCCGTTATTGTCATCGTGAGACGGCTGGCAGCCGTGCACGTAGCTCCTAATAATTACCGTAAGCAGTTTAAGAACATATTCTTCAAGAGGTTTGGTTCTTGGCGCAGTTGGCTCTCGAACAGTTGTCCAAGTCCATTAAATTTCAACGTCTGCACCGCGCGCGATCGTCGGTGTGCTGCGCTCGTGTTAGCGGCCGCGACTGCTATCGCGCGGCAGTCTGGACGCTACGCGTGCACGCGGGAGGGATCAATTAGAGGACGCACCGCTTAATTAAGAGCACTTTTCCTACATCATAATGCAACAATAAGCAAAGGTAATCGGGACAATTATTCGCACGCGACCTCGAACGCTGGAAGTCGCGCGCCCGGCGCGGCGCGGTGTACGCGTTACTTCGGCCTGCACCGGCATATGGCGCATTCTCACGGTGCAAAAGAAACGCAACGAAAGATAACATAGTAGAACGGCTTGGAAAGATAAGGGAGAGAGAGAGAGAGACTCTCTCGCCTTCTTCCGTTTACCCCGACGAAAGACGATGCGCGCACCGTACGCGAGCTCACGCCCGAAAGCGCTTCCCTTTCGAGCTGCAAATCTCTCACGGAGAGACGAGAAATAATTACAGCTCTTCTTTTATTAGTCGCTTTTTTTCGCTTTTGTCGAGATATATAATGTATACACAACATATACTCGTACATCTTTATCGTAATCGCAATATTCGCCAAACAATAAGTCTATACGCTTACCAATGATGTTATACGAACATTCTTCATAGGGTCACGTCATGAACAGGCTTGCAGATCGGTGATGCTCGCCTCTTACCCCGTCTCTCTCTCTCTCTCTCTCTCTCTCTCTCTCTCTCTCTCTCTCTTCATATTTTTCGGCCGAGATTTAGGAGTTTACGCGAAAAGTTTAGGGGTCCGCGCGCCCGGAGAGGGAGGTAAAACGTTCGGGCGTTACCTGTAGATATACGGCTCGTCGTAATTAACGGTCACGCTGCCGGTTGTTCGTAATCCCGGCGAATTAAACGACGCGCAAGGGTCTCAAATGGACGATAAGCTTCAAAGTTGTGCGCACGAAACGAAGCGCCTCTATCGCGAGCTGTATACTCCCCCTCTGAGCGAGTGAGCGAGCGAAACTTTTTTGCGCCTGACTCGCGCCGGCGACTTCTCCTTGTAATAACGAGACGCGACGGTGAGGACGCTCTCCTCGCGCACATTCAACGACGATAATCTATCCGTTGCTCGCTTGCTACGATTTGAAATATAGATGGCCGAGTTTCAGAGGCGCCGTGAACGACTCGCGGTCCTGTCTCGTCTTTCTCTCTCTCTCTCTTTCTCCTTGGAACGGGTACGGCGACTGGCGTATGAAATATGAATTCCCGATCGAAGGCGCTCCAGAACTTTGTGTCCGACACGCAGGAGGGACTCTGTCTCTCTCTCTCTCTCTCTCTCTCTCTC